ACTTCACCAAAATGTTTGACGCACACACGTAGCCTGTACTGTCCCATTGACACACTAATTTAATAACTGTGACAAAGTGAAAAAAAGGATATAGTCATTTTGAAGTGATAGAAAAACACAAACCATGGAAAAAACAACACAAGAAATAAACATAAACGGCTCGTGGTTAATCAACTGCAAAGCAGCCAGCATAGAATCAATAACAGACTTTAATTGATCATTTTTGTAAATTGCATGACTTACATACCTGTTAAGTTTTAAGCCAGTAATCTGGTTTGCTCTATAATGCAGTGAAGTAGTGTGTGTGTGTGTGTGTGTGTGTGTGTGTGTGTGTGTGTGTGTGTGTGTGTGTGTGTGTGTGTGTGTGTGTTTGTATGTATGTGTACATACTGTATTTCTGATGGAAGACACGTGAACTAGGAGAACGTTTTTCTCATATTTCTGATGTGATTGAACCACATCTGACAGATCATATCAGTGGATTGATACCACAATCTTTTATAGAATATGTATCATTTAATTCATTTAAGTATACTTTTAAGACATGGCTTCTTAGTAATCAACATTGTAAACACTGTTTTTTGTTGTTCATTTGAGTTTTGTTTATAGTTAGAATTTTTATTTTTAGTTGTGTAGGTCTTCAAAGAGCCCATATTATGCATTATAAAAGGTAATATTTTGGGTTTGGGGCTCTCCAACAACAGGCTGATATGCATGCAAGGACAATGTATTCTAATATGCATTTATTTTTTTCCAGAAATATATATTATATTTTACCATCTGATTTGTTCAGCAATTCATATGTTCCCAAACCCCCTCCTTTGTGTAATGCTAATCTGCACTGATTGGTTCATTAACACAGTCAGTTGTGAATGGTCTACTGCATTCAGCACGCGATGGAAAGAAACGCCCACCGCAGTTATGAAGAAGCCAGAGTGCAAAGTATATGTGCGAGCCCAATGCAGGAATGATTTAAATCAATGCAGATAAACACCAGCAAACACTATTCCTAGCCATAACACAACGACACGCATTCAGTATTAATCGACACAGTGGCGAAAGTAACTATTTTAAAAGTTGACTCTGTCACATGGATGTAAGAGCTGATGGTGGCCATAGCAATGAAAACAGCAGGGAATCGTGAGTTAAGAAAGCATTTAAATCAGTAAAGGAAGAAGCACATGTCTCATTTTCAATGTAGTTTTAAACGTGATATGTGAATATCCCTATAAAGATTTAACCTGAGAGATGCATTACGAGCACTGATCTATTATAGATAAGGTATTACAAGTGGCATGGAACAATTACATATTACAACACACAATTTAATACATATTTTGCAATTACAGGGGCAACCATTGTAATCACACAGCTTGTGATTGGAAGAAGAAACTGCTCGGGTTGGGACAATGAAGAATAGCCCATATAAACTGTGTAAAGGCTGATTTATACTTCTGAATCAAGTGCACGCTTATGTTCTGGCGCAGCCTCCGCATGGTTGCATAGCCCTCGCTGTGGATAACACTGACACGCACCTCTCAAGAAATGTAACTACACATTGAAATGACACGTAGCACAAGCTCTGTGGTTGGTCGGCTTGGTAGCACTGATGAGTGTTGGCGGTACAGAGAGCCATGCGAGCCTGTTGGAGCAAGTGTTTACAGGTATCGAGTGCCGTGAATGAGCTACAGGTGGAAAGTTTTGTTTTGTGTTTACCTTATGATTAAAGTTGTTGCACGTCTGCCAGTTCTCGCCTTTAAATGAGTGAGTTTGAACCACTTGTACATTAAGGTAGCTTTAAAAAAAAAAAAAAAAAAAACACCGAAGAAACTTGACACAGAGGAACATAAAAACCACACTGCCAGCTAACGTTTCGGAAGTGTTACTGCAGAGCAACACAAACAGGGCGCAGAAGTATAAACGCACAGTAACGCGAAAGGAATGCGCCGTGGGTCATGCGGGTCACTCGATGACCCAGGCTCAGTATGAACCAGGCTCAACAATTACTAACAATGTCCCATTCATTAAAAATCTTTGCTGTTTCTTCCTTTAAAAGCAAACAGCCAACAAATCCCATGTACTAGGGTAGGTTATTATATCAGTCTACAGAAAAATGACTGGAACAAACAAGGCGTAAGGTTTGCTTAACTGTGGTATTGTTGTGAAAATGAACTTAAACCCTTTATACCCCACATCCGCATCTCTGGCATTCTCTCAGTGATCTTCATCTTCACATCATAATCAATCCTATCATCCCTTATAATTTGCTAATGTCTGAAGTGAAAGGCGCAATCACGTTTTACCAGATCCATGTCTCGCATTGATGTCGATACGAGCACACACAAGACGAATCGTTTATTCAATTGTGAGTCGACTCTTTTATTTGAGAATCAATATTTTTAAACACAGTGCACTTTCAGATTTAAACCTCTGCTGGATGTTTTCATTCACTTAGAGTTATGTTACACACTGCATGGAAAGTCATTTTCAAAAACCCATAATAGGGGCTCTTTAACGTCTTTGGGCTAATTTGGGTACGTTTACATTCTTGAGGAATATTGATTAATGTACACTGCCCCTTGTTGTGAAATAAGTCACATTCTTAGTAGATATGCGCTTCTATTGACCTGATTGTGTGATTCAGGCCGGCGCAAATTTTTGCAATTGTTTTTCGAACTTCAGATTCAGTTTGCTGTGGGGAGAAATGACAAGGAATAAAAAAAATAGAATAATATAATAAGATAATGTCAGTTTGCCACATCAAGCAGCATAACGAGATGTTTTAACGTTTAAAAATGAATGGAAGTGAATGACACTGGAATTCTCTAGACAAAAAGGTTCCAATGACTGTGTCCACTCGTGCTTGAAGAATAGGGTCAGTACCGAAAGTGGGCAAAATGAACCCGCATGTAAATGTCTTAAGTTTATGTTCACATTACTTTTGAATGAAGGCATCAAAATTTGAAAAGCATTTATTATGGTATAATTTCTGAAATACATTCTTCTCATGGTTTCTTGTGAGGTACAGTGTTAATGTGGTACTTGTTGTAGCTTTTAAAAAACTTCCAGCTCACAAGTTGGACTTTGTGCACAAGCACAGCAATAAACTTTGTTGGTTAGCATAGATGCCTAACAGCAAGAAGGTCACTGGTTCGAGCCCCGGTTGGACCAGGAGGACCACTTCTGTATGGAGTATGCATGTTCTCCCTGTGTTTGCGTCCAGACATGTGGTTTACTGTAGGTGAATTCATCCTGAAAGCTCATGATTAACAATGAAATTTTTAACTGAAAATAAATGTTAATAAATATCTTAGTATTTTAAAATAATAATAGAAATAAAATAATTAATTAAAGCTGCATGTTGTGTATGATGAGGTTTTATGATTGTTTCAGAAAAATCAAACACTTTTAACCCTCTGGCTGTAATCATTTTTATGCAGCCAAACAAACCAACAAAACCAAACAAAAACATGTTTTATTGTGGATAATGTTTTAGGGTGCTTTCACACCTGCCTTATTTAGTTCGATTGAATCGCACTAGAGTTCGTTTCCCCTTTTGGTACGGTTCGTTTGGGCAGGTGAGAATGCAGCAATCGTACTCGAGTGCGCACCAAAAGCGTACCAATATATATATATGTATTTTTTTTTTATCTGTCAACCATGTAATACAATTAGTTTTTTTCTACTCGGTGCTCAACACAAAAGCCAGCAAGACGTATTTGCCCCGACGGGTTGCTATTTTCAGACCAGCGTGACTTTTTTACCCGGTTTCTGCCACGTTGTTTAAATAGCAAATTCATTTGCGCCACTTTGTGGACTCATAATAAAAACAGTTTGCTTGCCTGAATCGCCGACCCTGTCATCTTCTTCCCATAACAACAAATTTTACTACATATATATAATATGTAATCAATATATCTTATTTCTAAGTAAACAACAAACTCTGTACCGCATCGGATGTCATTCCCTCATTGTAAATGCTAGCGCTCCCGTTTTTTTTTCTGCCACCTCCCTGCACGCGCATCCTGAATGTTTACAAACATGGTAATTGGTCTATGGGTCAGAATTTTTTTAATGTAGTGGATTTGAAGGACTATAATAGACTATAAGAGCTCATTCAAATGCAGGAGACCTAAGCCAATCTAAGTTTTTAAGTAACTATTAAGATTTAAAAGCGTATCTTTAATGTAAAGGCCATGCAATGTTGACAGAATCTGACTAATATAATCATAGTTCTTATTTCTGGTAAGCACTCTATAGCTGCTGCATTTTGAATCAGTTTAAGTTTGTTTATTATACCCTCAGTACATATTCTGCATTAGATAATAATATCATTTGTTGAAATTGGGCAATTTATTTTAAGATGAAAAAAGACATGTTTACAGATGATTGAGATGTGGTGTTTTTTTTGCTGGCAGGTTGCTAATAAATCATTCATTCATTCATTTTCTTGTCGGCTTAGTCCCTTTATTAATCCGGGGTCGCCACAGCGGAATGAACCGCCAACTTATCCAGCAATTTTTATGCACCGGATGCCCTTCCAGCCGCAACCCATCTCTGGGAACCATCCACACACACATTCACACACACACTCATACACTACAGACAAATTAGCCTGCCCAATTCACCTGTATCGCATGTCTTTGGACTGTGGGGGAAAGCGGAGCACCCGGAGGAAACCCACGCGAACGCAGGGAGAACATGCAAACTCCACACAGAAACGCCAACTGAGCCGAGGCTCGAACCAGTGACCTTCTTGCTGTGAGGCGACAGCAATACCTACTGCGCCACCACTTCGCCTTGCTATTAAATCACTTCCCCAAATTCTTGGTAAATGACAGAAAATGAACTGAAGATTCATTTTGCCTTAGGCAGCATTAATGTTGTCAGGTATTGGTGTGAATGAAAACAAATGATTATATGGTGATATATAAAAACTTCTTTACAGTGGCAAAAAGTGTTTCGCAGTTTTACAGTAACAATCATTTTCCTGATTTTAGGTTTGCTGCTAAACTAATTGCTGGGGTTTTGGATTTCAAAAAATTGATAGATAGGTAAGCTATGTCCGTATTTTCTTAAACAATTGAAAAGTATAATTTATCAGTTTGTTTTAAAGGACACTCATTACTATGCCATAGTAAAACATTGCCTGTGGAATATCTGGGTGGCAAGCCTTTGTGCATGGACCAGTATTACCAGGTGCTCTCTTCATGTCGGATCCCTGGACCCAAGAGGGACAGTGTGGTAAACTATGCTACTGGAAAGACCCCGTCTACGCATATTACAGTGGTTCACAACTTTCAGGTACTTTGCCACACTTTAAGTTGTCCTGCTGCAAAAGCAGTCATTCTATCTGAAAGACTGAAATATTATGATTGAATTTTTTATTGATGATACATAACATAAAGGATTTTTCTTTATTTTTAAATTACATATGTAGTAGGATCAATCAGAATAATATCTTTTAAAAGTTTGGGGTCAGTAGGATACTTAAAATTCATACTAATTGCAAATATTTACACTGCAAAAAATGCTTTTCTTGCTTAGATTTTTTTGTCTTGTTTCTAGTCTAAATATCTAAAATTTCTTTTATCAAGAAGCATTTTCTATACAAGCAAAACATATTGTCTTGTTTTGAGAAATAAAATGCCAATATTAAGTTAGTTTTTCCTTAAAACAAGCAAAATAATCAGCCAATGGGGTAAGCAAATTAATCTTGTTTTTTCTTTTGACATAAGATTATTTTGCTTACCCCATTGGCAGATTATTTTGCTTGTTTTAAGGAAAACTCACCTAATTTTGGCATATTATTTCTGAAAACAAGACTATATGTTTTTCTTGTCTAGAAAATCCTTCTTGATTTAGAAATTTTAAGATATTTGGACTAGAAACAAGACAATAAATCTAAGTAAGAAAAGCATTTTTTTGCAGTGTATTGAGCACCAAATCAGAAATTCAACTTCTTTATACTGTATCTGGAATAGTACAATTTCACAATGTTACAGTTTTACTCCCTTTTTTATCCTTGGTGAGTGAGAAGAGACTTCTTTACATTAAATAAACTTACTTACCTCAATCCTTTAATTAGTTTTCTGTTTTGACAGTTTTTATTTAGTAATTTTTAAACGATTACTGTATATTTGAGATTTTGTTAGTCATACCCAGATTACTGCATTAAATTAAAAAAGGGTTTTCATTTTGCGCCTCTGTCTAACATAATGTACTATTTGTCTCTATGTTTTCCTCAGTTCTTTGTTTTGGATGTGTACAACAGTGATGGTTCACCACTGACTGTTGATCAGATCTATGTTCAACTGGAAAAGATCTGGAACACTTCCCTTCAGACCAATAAAGAGCCTGTTGGCATCCTGACCTCAAACCACCGTAACACCTGGGGCAAGGCTTACAACAACCTTATCAAGGGTGAGATAAATGGAAAATGCTATGTTGTGTTTTGTATTGTTAACAGAAACTGACTTAGAAGAACACTGTTCTTTCTAATTTAGTTTTAAAAATCTTTGAAAGACGGCTGTTGCGGCTACATTGAGTAACAGCTGAGAGGCTAAACCAAAGACATGATTCGTGATGCAAACATCAAATAAAAATATAAACAAGGCAAGAAGTCGTTCCCATATCTTTTCTCGTATACTTTCCTAATAAAAAATCATACCTTGATATTTTTACAGTGTAGATTTTATTTGATTTTGGGTTTGGTCAACAAAGAATACCGCGTCCCTGTTCACCCCCTCACTCTTTTTGTGAATAAACAGGTGCCCCATATAAACACACTACATAACCTTTGTGACCCTCCACCTCGATTACGTGACACAGGTTAACCATTTCATGTTTACTACAAAGATGTTTCTTTATTATTGATGTCCATAAATACAAGAGTTAAAGTATTCCGGCACCATGTCGGATCTCCAGCGTGCGGCCGTGAGAGAAAAAAAAAATTATAGAGCTTGCGCATGCGGTTTAATTGGGGATGCTTTGTAACCGATTAATGGTATCAGTTAAACTATAAAAAAATATATTATATATTTTTAAAGTTTGGCTGCATAAGGGGCATCTGTTGAATGGTTTACCAATGGCCACAAGTGTTTTATGCGCTGCTTATGCGCCCTGGGCGTCTCGCATTTTGCCGTTGCTCGCCGTGTGCTTGAGCTGAAAAAGTGTGTTACCTCATCTTTAAACGAAAGCACTGCAGGGTTTTTGTTGAGGTGACAGCAGGGTTTGGGTTGTCAAGGCGACTATGGCAAACTTTTAATTATGGAGGTCTCTCCTCCTTGTGGTAGCTGTTTCATGTTATCCAGAGCTGTATTACTTGACAGATCTTGAATATCACAATAGCCCCTTTAACACAGGGATACCGGTAAATATCTGGAAAATTTCCAGAACAACTTAACCCGTATTTTCAAAAAAGCGCTGTTCACACAGACGAGGGCGATACAGAATTTTTCCAGAAAAGACCGTTCACACATCCATTCCAAAATACCGGTAAATTCTGACATCATTCACCACAAATGAGCTTTAAACAGCTGGGCTTGTATTTGTAAACATTTGACTACATTACAAACTCTGTGGATGATCAGTATTGTGAACAACTTCGATGAAAACATATGGAGGATCACTTTCGCATGTCGAGATGTTCATAAAATGTGCGTGTGCTGGCGCTCACAGGCTGTTTCACAGGCACACGCAAAGCTTGAAGGTAAACAAACAGCTGCTTATCATAAGCATCTTATCGATGATTATTTACACAGTTGGCATTAAGAAGGACATATAAACGTTATCTGACTAACTTCTAGCAGCTAAACGCGTTTGGGAAAATATTCAAAGGCTTTTAATCTCATTGACGTGAATGCGTCTGGCTGTTCTAATTGACTAAAACATACGTCTAACATCAGCACATTCTATACATGCACGCGCTCTTTCTGGCAATCTTCCTTCTGCATTTACACAGCGCAGCATTCCAGCAAATTACCGGTAATGTTACAACTTCTCTTTCTGGAATTGCCGGTAATTTTCCGGAAAGGTCTGTATGTGTGAAAGGGGCTAATATTATTAAAAATAACAATTATAACATTGACAGCAACAGGACTCGGGCACAATAGACCAGCTGATTCAGTCGTTTCCTAGTTATAAAAGAGCACCACGCTTTTTTTTCTTGTCAACTTAGAGGCAGTGTGGTGCGCCTTGCGTTTTTGGAACAGAAAGGCGTGCTCTTTGTGATCAGCCCCTAAATGTGGAACAAACATTTGTTAACTCTCGGGACCTGTGCAAACACTTGTGTCTACAGATGTATTTTGCCAGAGAAGCAAAATAAAAGAAGGATATTTCTGGTCACAGTTTAAAACAGATGAGTTGACATTAACCAGCGCTGATGCTGGCCTCTGTGCCAGCATCAGGTATGGCAGGGGTCACCAATCTCGGTCCTGATTGGGTTTAGCTCCAACTTGCAGGTGTGTTTGATTAGAGTTGGAGCAAAAATCTGCAGGACACCGGCCCTTCAGGAACAAGTTTGGTGACCAATGAGGTATGGCAAAGGCCTTTTCAAAAATAGCCAAATACAAAAGAGAAAGTGATACATTTTAGACATTGATGAGAACTGGAGCAACATATTTGGCAGTTGAAAATGCGCCAGTTAGTTGAGAATGTGCCTTCTGTGCAGTTTTTCCTCCACCCCCCTTCCAGCACAACATTTATTTAAAATACATTTATTGTATTTATTTAAAAAAGTGAAATATTCTGAGATAATTTGCATGACATTAAATTCTAATACCAGAAACTCTGAAACGCCTCTGTGGAGAGGTAAGCATGATCTAACACGCAATCAGGGGGGAAAGCATGCTAGGAGCCCGGCGGCTAATCATCGGGTCAATCAGAAATGATAAATAACACCTGTCTTTCTAGTGATTGGGCCGGAGAGACTCGCTTCTTAAGGAGAACGGGAGGAGCAGTCGGGAGAGGAGAGAGCACACACACATACAGCGATACATGTGTGGTGACATCCAAACATAAATAAAAGATTTGCTTACCTGAATTGCCGACCCTGTCTTCTTCTTCCCTCAACAACGAACATTACAGCCTCTAAATCCAGCTAATCCTGTCACCCTTTATTTTTCCACTTTAAGTGAAGCTCACATTAATTAGAAAACACTGGGCATTTTGTTAGTGGATTTAAAAAAAATAATTGTTTGCATGCTTGTGCCACAAATTTTTCTCTTTTTCAGACAAGACAAATAAGGAGTCGGTACGGGCAATCCAGAAGAGTATCTTCACAGTGTCTCTTGATGCTCCGATGCCACGTGTGTCAGATGAGATGTACCATAATAAGGTTGCAGCTCAAATGCTCCATGGTGGAGGCAGTCGCTGGAACAGTGGTAACCGTTGGTTTGACAAAACTCTGCAGGTACAAACATTCACATGGTATATATTAATCGAGATTTATTGAGGTATTCTTCTGTACATGGACTTAATTTTGTTTCCTGTAGTTCATAGTTGGGGAGGACGGATCATGTGGACTCACCTATGAACATGCGCCAGCCGAGGGACCTCCTATTGTTTTCTTGGTGGATCATGTTGTTGACTATATGTAAGGATTTGACAAAATATAATGAGATTGTTTGAGATTTCAGCAAGAACTGTAACATTTCAAAAAGTGTTTTATGCTTGCCAAAGCAACATTTATTTAACATATTTTACTTTGACTTGTATTTCAGTAAAGACAATATGAACACAAAATAAAAACTTTTGTAAATATACATCTTTTTCTGTAATTCAGACTGCAACACATTCCAAAAAAAGTTAGGACAGGAGCAATTTAGTGCTAATAATCAGGTAATTTGGTTAAATTATGATGCGATTTAAAACAGGTGGTGTCAACAGGTGAATGTAATATTTTTTTTTTTTGTACAAAAGCAGCATCCAAGAAAGGTATAGTCCTTTAGAAGCAAAGATGGGCCGAGGATGACCAGTTTGCTAACAAATATGTGAGAAAATTCTTAAAATGTTTCAAAACAATGTTCCACAAAGAAAGATAGGAAGACATTTAGACATTTCACCTTTAACAGTGCATAATTTTATTAAAATAGGAATCTGGATGAATTTCAAAAGGGAGGCTGGCCTGTTCGGTGACACCATTGGTAGATTCACCCAGGAATTCATGGCGGTGTAGTCGGATACGATGGGCTGAGTTATCTATCGGCGGGGATGAAAGATTGCTCCCCCCCGCCGAATCATGCACTGCTTGTCGCCGAGAGTGCCCGTCTACGGCTCCCCTCCCTGGGGCGCTGATAAGTCCTGTAAAACGGACTGCGCACTCTACTCGGAGCATCGTATCCTCTTGGGCGCGTGCATGCGGCGCCTCTAACAGACATCTGTAGAGCTTGCGGGCTGGGCGACACCTAATACATTTGCAAGGTTATAATTGCGAGTGAAGCCAGTTTCCTCAAGGGTATTAGGTAACCTTTGGTGATTGAGGAAACAACTCGGTTAAGGTGTTGTAACACGCTTGCTGCGCCATTCTCCATAACACAGAGGTACGTGCATTTATTAACTCTGTCAGTAAGTTCCCCGCTTAGGCGAGCCCTGCAGAGATTCCTCCAAGGCCCCCAGCATTTGACTCAGCAGAGGAGTCAGACGCTGGCCTGTTACGTTGTAGGTCTGCCTGCTGGTTAGCCTGCGTTCTGGGTATAGGTGCCTGCTATGCACAATCCCCACATGCAGTCCTCCCTCACAGGCGGAACCATGTCTTCCCTCACCGCTAAACATGTTATTTTCATACGCGTATTCCCCCTTCTCAGGGCTAGTCCATATGCTCTTTACCACCATATCTCCCCATGGGGGTAGCTGGTGGCCTCTCATCGGGGGCGAAGGTTAGGTTCAATCATCATGGCGTTTTCCATACATTGCCCCATAGTGGAAGTTTTTTCCACATAGCATTGAAGTACCCCTCCCGAAGCGAATGCTACAGTTACTAAAGTAACCCTCGTTCCCAAGGAGGGGAATGGAAATGCTATGTTCCTTTGCCATAATGATCGCTCTTTAGCTGTTGAGGTGAAAGTCTCTTCAGCTAAAAAAGTATGCTTTAGCTTTTTTGCTGTGCTTATATTGCCAAATTGATTGCAATGAGCATTAGCTGCACAAGCTGAAGCTGCTAACTTATTGGCATTTCATTGGCCTGTTTACATACTCTTTGAGATGATTGCCTTCCTGAACGAAATCCTTGTCCCCACCTCGGGGAATGAGGGTTACTTTAGTAACCGTAGCATTACATCTACAAATGCCAGTTAAAACTGTGCTGAGCCAAAAGGAAGCTCTTTCTTGTCTAAGAGGCATCTGGGATGGATGAAAATGTGTACTGTGGTCAGATGAATGAGCATTTTAGGGTTTCTTTTTTTGAGAGAGAAATGTACGCTGTGTGCTCCAGACCAAAGAAAAAATGAATCATCCAGACTGTTACCAGCAACATGTCCAAAAGTTAGGGTCTGTCACAGTATGGATTTTGTCAGTGCCATTGGCAAAAACAGATACAAATCACATTAAATAATGTTGGTTGTAATGGCTGGAATGAAATGCAAGTCAAAGTAAATTTAGAAATCATTACTTTATTATTTTATTTTCATTTTACATACTGTCCCAACCTTTACTGACTTGTGGTTGTATTTTAATACAGTGTACAATTTCTGTGTTGGTGAATATAATCTTTAGTTAGTTTTACTTTAATCCTCTGTGTCACAGTGATTTAGAAATCATTCTTAAATGCTGATTTGGTGCCCAAGAAACATTAGCTAATGTTGACCACAGTTCACAGCTGCTTTGTATTTTTGTGGTAAATGTGATATTGTCCCGCATCCTTTGATTGACACAAAGTTCACATGAGCAGCTTTTATTTGAATTAATTTGTAACTTTTTTTTACATTTCTAAGCACTTGCTGAATAAAAATAGTTTTCAATTGAAGCATCACATCATTAAGTTTTAAAATAGATGTTTATTTTGAAGGTTGACGAATATTACATTTAACAGTGTTATGATAATATTTTTGGTTATTTAATAAATATTGAAACATTTTTTACCTAAATAGTACCGACATACTGTGCATGCCTTAACACAATGCCCTGAATATTGATAATGTAAAATTATTTCTTTTTTGTGATTTATCATGAAACTATTTGTTACAGGAAGAGAACTGAGATGGTGAGAACTCCCATGATTCCACTTCCTATGCCATTAAAGCTTCGATTTAACATCACGCCAGAAATCAAGAAGGACATTGAGAAAGCCAAACAGAACATGAACATGTGGGTTTTAATCATTCAATAATCAGCTGTAATCAATGAATATTAAATCATATTTGTCCCTAATTTTCTTGTATTCTTTGTATAGCATGGTCCATGACCTAGATGTTCGAGTGCTCAACTTTTCACAATATGGAAGAAAGTTCCCAAAGTCTCATAAACTGAGTCCTGATGCATTCATTCAAATGGCACTGCAGTTGGCATATTACAGGTTGGTTCAAACTTCTAGTCAACTCGAACACCAGAGATTCATATTTTATCAACTGTTTAAAGAGTCTTCTGATGCTAGAAATGTATTTTTAGAAATCTAGTCCTTATTGCAATTTGTTTTTACATTCCAGTGGCTTCTCTTACTTTATTTTCCTAGGTTGCATGCATGCCTTTTTTGTACCAAATTACCTCTTCGTCAGCATCTTTAAAGATCAAGTATGTATTTTTGATGTCATAATACTTTTTTAAATGAATTTACTGCGAGGAGTATAGCTCTATTTGTCCAACAAGTCAGATTCCAATGGTGTGAATCTTGGATTGGATTAACTTTATACTATAGGTACCTGGAATGTTTGTTATCAAAAGTATACTGTTAAAGCATTTAATGCACCAGTGCTTGCTGTCAGTTTAATCATCATTCTAAATCTGTTTTTGAATTGCTATTTTCTAATTATACGCTTATTTCACGCGGCCGCCATTTTAAAGAACCAAAGCGAGGCTGCGGTGGGAAGAAACCCGGAAGTATAGGACCAGCACTGTAAACATTGCTGTAACATGCCGTGTACAATAAACCTCTAGCTGTTGCCGAGATTTTCAAATGCAGAAACGATGTAACCCTCACTTTAATATTATTTAGTGAGTTTATTTTAAACCATTAAAAGCAATTTTGCATCAAACATCTCAATCTCAGTGATGCACTTAAGTGTCCTCCTGGGCTTCAGTTCATGGCACCAGTTAAACACCATGAGGACGCTTTTCTGCTTCAGTCTATGTAACTCGGTGAGCGATAAAACACTGCAGTCCTCTGCAGCACACCCCCGTGCTGTCTGTAATAATGTTGTCCCGGTACTGAAGTTTTAAACCCGGCTATTTCCCCTCTAACATGGAAGCGCTGCTGAGCGCGGATGACTCGACTGATCTTTAAGGCTGCTTCGCGTTTCAGTATCAGTGTCTCTGTGTTTGGTTTGCACTCAGCTTACTGCTCTTCACCCAGTGCAAACACAGATGCACGGAGACTGAAGCGCGAAGCAGCCTTGCCTTGAAGTTTAGTCGAATCAACAAGCAGATCGCTCCACTGTCTGTGTTGTGTGTGTGCTCGGTAAACAGCGGTGAACTGATGACCTTCTCGGCCAATCCCAATCATTTCGGTTGAACACATGACCACAATGGCAGAAAGCCATCAACAGTGCCTTTATGTTCGCGGGAAATTTATGTTTTTTTCTTTTAATTCAGTAGCGTGACAAGTCTAACATAATGAAAGAATTAGTTTATTAACTCAAGTTTGATAAATGGCATCTAAAACGTGCGTTTGGGAAAGAAAACATTAGCTAACTAGTGCCATTTCCCTTAACTTAGCTGAAAATGAGCTCTGACATCCCTTATTATATTCACCATTCAATCAGAACAGACCTCCGGGTCACCCGGAGGCGGTTAAATGATAAAATTGTGTCACTTTCTCTTCGCTGATAAGCTATATAGCCAGTTACACAAAATTCCTATGTAACTCCCAATGATATTTCCGGGTTTCTTACCACCGCAGCCTCGATTTCGCTTTTGAAAATGGCGGCCGCGTGAAATCAGTCTATTGGCACTCTCACACACATGCAACATTTTTTGTTGTGTTTACAAACATTCAGAGGTCCAGAAACCTCTTGTCAACGGTATGAACCCTATAATTAAATAAAATAATTTTGTCTGCATACCCGAATCCTTAAAAGGTACAAAATGCTTTATCTCTAGACTTGATGCATGGATTATGATGTTTTAAAATGAGTCCTCTCCTCTTGTTAAGTCTGACGTCATATGAAGCACCTTTCATGTTCAGGCACTCTATCAAACTCAAACAAATGGTAATAATAAATGTGTACAAAGTGTAATACTTCAGAAAACCATGATCTATATATATATATATATATATATATATATATATATATATATATATATATATATATATATATATATATATATATATATATATATATATATATCTGTCAGTCCATGTATAATATCAGGAATCAACATTGCATTACCTCTAAATTAAACCTGAAATTGCTTAAATGCATTTTAAACTGCTTAAATGCATTTTAAAATCCTAATGATTACTTACAAACTCTGAATGGTTTAGCTCCACAGCATTTGAATGTGTACACCATGATTTTATAAGAAATTCACTTTAAAGTTTGATATGACTGGTCATAAACAAATGTTTTCTCAATTCAAATGAGTAGGGACTTGGACCCGGAAACAGTATTCTATACATCATGACTTAAGCGGATATTTAGAGAGTAATGCAAAGATTACTTAAAAGAAGCCATGTGTTTCCATGTTTGCTAAATAACATGTAGTTTCTAAACTACTCTTCCTTTTAAACTTGTATTTTTCCCATGCAAAACTGCCCCTTTCATATGTGCACTAATGTCATGCCCAATGGCAATGCCCCATCCATAAGTGGTGTAAAAATTACATACTTCACCTTTAAAAGATGCATTTATTTCTAGAAATGGTGAAATTCAAAACTAAGGTGATTTAGCAAAGGGCTATTTCCGAGTGAATAAAATTTTTTACAATATCAGTGGATAAAATGGGGAAATTAACAATGTGGACAAAATGTACCTGTAATAACGTGTGTTTTAAAGGTGGGTCTCACTTATATTATCTAATATGTACTTTTATGTTTTACTCTACATTGTACTTGTATTTAAAAATACATGCATGTAATTAAATTTATAAATGTAGCTGCATTTCAAAAATTATAAAAAAAAAAATTAAAAAAAAGCTCTTTTTGATATTTTAAGATTATAGGAATCTACTATCCAGCAGAGCTCAACCATAATCAAACACATCGAAAAAGCTAATTAAGCTTTTCAGGATCATATGTCTAGCATATATCTTGGTATACATTCTAGAATAGATTCAATTAAAATGAATACAATTGCAAAACATTTATATTTTTTGCAATCATTTCCTATAGAAATATCCAAACAACACCACACAGGTACACTCTCAGAAAAAGAATGGTATAATGTTGTACCAAAGAAGGTTCAAACCCTTGTCACTGGGGCAGCACCTTTTTATGGAACAGAATTGTACTGTAAGACAAAGTATCAAATTTGTACCATTCCATTTTGTACCTTTAAGGACATGATTTTTACAATGGGACACTAAAATGTACCTTTGGTTTTTTAAAACCTGCAGATACAATATTGTACCTTCTGATCCATGAAGGCACCACTACAGTGACAAGACAATTTGTACCTTAACAGTGTCAAATGTGTTCCTTTAAGAACTATTTAAAGGCATTTTGCTACAGTATACCCAAAATGCGTCAATTTATTTTCAGTAAATATATATATATATATATATATATATATTTTTTTTTTTTTTTTTTTAAACATTTGTTTTAACATCAAACAAAATATCTATTTTTTTGCTAAACATTTCACAACACGTTTCACAAAATTGTTACAGAAATACATTCTCCCATCTACAATATAAAACTCCCATCTACAATATTTTGTTTCTCCAATTTTCACACAATACCTTTATAATCACTTAAAAGTTCATTTAATTTACTTAATTTTAAAACAGAAATAGAATTATGCAAAAGTATTGTAATGAGATATGCACAATGTTTGATTAGTTTTACAATACTAAAATGTCTGCATGAACACTTTGCATATGCAGGACTTTTGCCAGCTCATGTGCGTAGTGGAAAGCAAATGTCAAGGGGTGTTGATATCAATAATGAAAATGTATTTATCAGAACATGCTTACCAAATAATCATTAAAAAATTCCTTAAATGTTTAGATTACAATACCTATAGTTTTGTTTTACCAGTTGTTTTGTATTATAGAATTTAATAACTAATGTTTATGAGATTTTTCTTTAAACAGGCTTTTAAAAGATGATTCATGTTTTAATGTGGAAACTATGCATAAAATCACTTTGCTTTTCCAGTAATATTTACTGTCATAAGTATTGTAATAAAGAAGAAGTTGAACACTTGCGTACCTTTTTATGAGAACAATTGTGTACCTTCATTTGTACCATAAAAGGTACAGAACAGTATCATAAGAGTTTTTTTCTGTACCATGTAAGGTACAACTTTTGCAAAGGTACAAAACTTCCTTAAGGAACATTATTTGTACCACTGTGTACCTTTTTTTTCTGAGAGTGTACAGGTTATTCCATTATTTACAAGGCAAGGGACAAAACAACAACAAATAGGGCATTTATTGAAAAAAATACTTTACAAAACTGTAAAGTGACGTTTATCATTTTACCATAACATAGGCAAAATTATTAAATAAATGTACATGCATATAGTTTACATGCTCCTCTATAGTTTACATGCTCCTCTAGTTAAACTGCTGGAAAATTACATTTAAAATTATGTGCAAGGAAACTTGCACAGTACAACAAAATCCAGTCTCTGTGTGCTGTTTTTGATTTTTAAATTGTCTTATGAGCCTTAAATACAGTAAATCAACTGTATCCATGTTACATTTATGACGGTGAAAAGTCATTATCAAATTTGGCATACATCTTTGCAAAGAGAATACATGTGATGTTATTATCTGGAAAGTTATCTGTTGCTGCACTGTTATCTAAGGCAGTAGTGTCAAACTCAATTCCTGGAGGGCCGAAGCCCTGCACAGTTTAGTTCCAACCCTGCTCCAACACACTTACCTGTAGGTTTCAAACAAGCCTGAATGACTCAACTAGTTTGATCAGGTGTGTTTATTTATGGTTGGAACTAAACTGTGCAGAGCTGCGGCCCTTTTGTAACTGAGTTTGACACCTGTGATCTAAAAGATTAACCAGGACATGCCAATTCTTTCAAAACATTTTACCACAATGTCCTCATAAACATCTGAAACACTGCACAACAAATGACATAACTGATCGAATGATTGATGACAGTTGTCAAGAACATGCATCATGCATGATTATGATGTTTCACGTAATGACTATAAAGGTGTTATGACCTTATGAATACTTTGAAAAGTAAAGTGATATGCAAAACATAAACACAATAAGTGCATAGATTTTTATTTTTTTGCATTGTTTTTAAGACTAAGTAAATGGGAGAAAATATATTTTTATGCATATACATACATATTTTTTCTTAAGCATGCTATGCTAGACTACTGATTTTTTTGTGTGTGTGTGTGTGTGTGTTAGGATGTATGAGACATGCTGTCCATCCTACGAGAGTGCATCTTTACGCATGTTTAAACTGGGCAGAACAGAAGCCATTCGATCCACCACCACAGAATCGTTGCAGTTCACAAAAGCCATGGATGATCCATCAAAAAATGTACTGGTTTCAATTTCAGTATTGACATGTTTTAGAAGTTTTGAGAATTGCTCATGTTGTTTTCATATTCTTTGACATTTGCAGAATATTGAGAAAGCAGCACTGCTCAAAAATGCGATTAAAGTCCACAGAGAGCTCACATACATGGTGAGTGTCTTAAAAAGATCCAAATGCATTAGGCAGTAACTCTTCAAAATCGGACAAACTTGGTACTTTAAAGGTATTAACTTGGTACTTTAATGTGACATTTTAATACTTAAGTAAGTCTACATTTAAAAAAAAAAAACATATCACCCCAGTAATATCTTTTGGACTATTATTTTTCTGACAGTGTATGTTCTCTGTGTAACATTTTTGTTATGTTATCAAGAACTCCCAATAAATATTATGATTTTTTTTCCCCTCTCCTTTGTAATCAGGCCATCCATGGGCAGGCTATAGACAGGCACATGTTGGGCCTAAAGATGGTGGCCATTGAGGATCTGACATCTTTACCCGAGATTTTCATGGACACATCATTTGCTGTGGCTTCACATTTTAACCTCTACACAAGTCAGGTTTGTACTCTCGGGTCAGGTGTTGTGGGCCACTCCAGGCCACTTATTTACTCCAGATAAATACATTTACCACTTCTTGATTAGGGGCTCAATAACATTCTATTCCTAAAAATATGTTTCCTCTAAACCAGTGGTTCTCAAACTTTTTTCATCAAGTACCACCTCAGAAAAAAAATTGTATCTCCAAGTACCACCAAAAATTAGCAGTATTGAAATACAATAGCATAGTAGGCCCAGTATAGCAGCTACAACTCTGCACAGTTAAAACAACGTGGCAAATTACCTCAGAAATATAGGCTATATTCATAAATGTCATATTATATGCATAATTTTTGAGAAATTTTTAAATGTGTGTAGCATGTACATGACATATTTCATTCCTCCTCGTACCACTAGAAGGAAGCCTGCGTACCACTAGTGGTACACGTACCACAGTTTGAGAACCACTGCTCTAAACAATCTTACAGTTCATGCTGTAAATAATTCAGAAAAAAAGACTATAACGTTATCACAAAAAAGAATATTAATTCTTTTAATAATTTTTTTGCAATCTCTACTACTGACATTGCACACTGTAATTACATTTCTTTTAAGTTAATTGTAGCATACAAACCAGCAAACACACTTGCCAAACTGCTTCAAAATCAAATTTTAGTATGGCCAGACGATACTACCTCAGCACAGCAGGACGTTCAGCACACAAACTAGAACATGTTCAGAGTGGTAGTCACACAGACTTACAACAGTATACTAAAATTGTGACTGCTACATTTGCAGAGGTGGGTAGCGTATCCAAAATCTATACTAAAACATATGCAGTGCATCTGGAAACTGTTCATAATGCTTCACTTTTTCCTGAAACCTGAAAAAGCACATGTACAATTTACAGCCTTAAGGTTCTAAATTGAGCTCAGGTACATTCTGGTTCCACTGACCATTCTTGAGATGTTTCAGCAGCTTAATTGGAGTTTACCTGTGGTAAATTCAGTTGATTGGACATGTTTTGAAAAGGCATACACCTGTCTATACAAGGTCCCAGAGTTGACAGTGCATGTCAAAGTACAAATTTAAGAATGAAGACAAAGAAATTGTCTGTAGACCTCCGAGACAGGATTGTCTTGAGGCACAAGGCTGGGGAAGGTTACAGAAAAAAATTCTTCCTATGAGCACAGTGGCCTCCATCATCCATAAGTGGAAGATGTTTGGAACATTCTATGGAGAGCGAAGAACCTTACAGAAGGACAACCAGTTGTGCAGCCATTCACCAATCAGGCCTGTATGGTAGAGGGGCCCGACGGAAGCCACTCTCTGCCTGAAATTTGCCAAAAAGCATCTGAAGGACTCTCAGACCATAAGAAACAAAGTTCTCTGGTCTGATGAGACTAAATTTGAAAAAGAAGAGAACATTTTTTTAAAAGAAGAGATTTAAAACAAAGAAAATGATAGAGGGAAAACAAGAACTAGTAAGACCACTGCAGCTAGGGATTTTGACAGGGCCACAAGAGATTATTAGTAAAGATAGTTAAATGCAAACTTAATGAGTTCTGTTTAAAATTATGATTAGGAATTATAATAAATAATTTCAACTAAATCAGGTTTCAACTAAAAATTTTATGTTCAACTTAATATTTTTAGTCAGTTTGATTAATGTTTTTGAGATGATTAGAAACATTCATTTGATTCAACTAAAAACTATTAGGCAGCAATGTTATTTACAGTGTGTTACATTAATGAAACAAAGCAAAATAAATCAGAAAGAGAACTTTATTGCCATGCATGTTTACACATACAAAGAGTTGTTGTTTTTGTGAAAGAAGTTTCCTCACTACAACAAAATGACAGTAGCTATGTTTCCATTCAAAAATGCAAATTAACATTATGCGGAAAACTGGATTGTCGCATAAAAGATGTGCCAATAATGCAGCGTTTCCATCCAACGAGTCAAAGCGAACAAAATCGTCACTTCCTGATTATCTGGCACCAATTATCAACAGTAAAAACTGAATTTGCTGCGATAGGAAAAGCTGTGTGAATCCTTTCATTTTATAAATGACTTGTGCCTCAGAAGGCAACCCTGAAACGCAGTGAACGCGCTGTGGCGTTTGAAGGCATGAGACTCTTGATTCTGGAGGTATGAATAATATAATAACACTAATAACTAAACGAAGGGCGTTACACCACTTATAACAAATCACATGACCTTTTTTAATGCACATACTGGAAATTGTTTGGTAAAAGTGTTACCATCATAGTTTATGAGCATCTTTAGCATGTTTTTTTTATGCACATTTTCAAAATTTATGCACAACCTGGCATTTTCAACCGTTATTTTATGCGCTTACCCAAAATGCGCATAAAAAAATGGTGGATGTTAATGTAACTACTAACAGGACAAACACACAGATATATAGACAATTTTAAAAATATCAAAAAGAGAATAAAAATGTGCAAACTGACAAATGTATTTACAGGGATATTGCTATAAAGAATATTTATGTATAGCTATATTTCAAATATAATTACAGTAAAATGTATTTTTGTTTAATGGTCAGAAGTTGCACTCGGGCAGATCTGAGGATCACAGTGGGAGTAAATCCGCCGCCCTTGCGGACCACTCGCTCCTCCACGTGATTCATCCAAGCTTCAAGTGAGAGAAGTAATCTGTCCTCGGTTGGTCGAACTCTCTCTTGATGACATCGAGGATCAGATGTCCATCGCTGCATCGGAGGATGGGCTGCATCTGATGAGAATATGTACCAGCTCCCTCCCCCCAGAGTGGAAAGCGCGGCGTTGGCATCTAAAAGCAGACTTGGTGGCTGTGCTTTCCCATGCTGCTTCGGCCGTCGGGCTGGAGATGGTTAATTTCCCAGGCCCGTGGCCGGACTCACTAGAGGGGTGTTATGTGGAGGATGTAAAGAAGGCAAGACCTTCTAAGCCTCCCGTCCCCTTCTTCCTAGAAGTGCACAGTAAGCTCACGCTGTGCACTGTGCGCGCCTTTGCCCTCACCATGCATGCTATGGCCACCTACCAGCGCTACCAAGCGCAGTCACTGGCCCAGCTCCATGAGGATGGTTCTGACCCAGGACTGAGCATGAGCTCCGCACCGCAACCAACTATGCTCTGAAAAAAGTTGGCTGTGTGTGCCCTTGGACGGATGATGGTCACATTAGTGGTCTAAGAACGCCACCTTAGGCTAAATCTGGTTGATATGCGTGATGTTGACAAAGTTTGCTTTTTTAACTTACCCAAATGCCAGGCTGGCCTGTTTGGAGACACCGTCGGTGAATTTGCCCAGGAATTCACGCCGGTAAAGGAGCAGTTGGAGGCTATGGGTGAGGTAATCTAAAGGGGGGATCGTATGACCGCTCCCCCGCTAAGCCATCCATATCTGCTGCTTTTCGCTGAGGGCGCTCGCCTGCGGCTTTGCTCCGCAGCTCTTGCCTGCGCCTCCGGTCAAGTGGCTGCGCCAAGCATCTAGCAGGCAACCAGCGCCTCCAACCCCCACCCCAGGGCGCGTTTATTGGCCCGTTTTTATACTCTTTTATATGATTGGATTCTGACGAAATCCCCATAGTGGAAGTTTTCCACATAGCATTTCCGTTCCCCTCCTCGGTGAACGAGGGTTACCTTGGTAACCAAAGCGTTTTTAAAATTAATACATTCACATTCAAACACACACAAACAAAAAAGATTATCAGCTGTGGACTTAAAAGGATCTCCTTTTTGCAGTAAATTTCCATCGCAAAAAAAGATAGTTAGGACATGAATATAATTTTCATTACTATTTATTTACCATTAATGACCATAGCATTACTATATTTTTCCATTGCACTATTTGTCGCAGATACTGAAACTGAAAGGATCTCCTGTTTTTGGCTACTTTGGAATAAGTTTGCATAATATACTGGCCACTCATTCTGACTGAGTGATTTTAAATGTGTTATTTGAATCAGTGTAGGAGTGAAGTGGTACATGTATTCCTTCCGAGCTCTCACGGTATAAGGCTCACAGTTCGGTTTTTTTGTTTCTGCTTTGAAAACAGTCAGTCCAGATATGCAGAAACTGGAGTTAAGCCATGTTCACACTAGAGTATATGTTAATATGTGCTCCCAAAAATACGTGGCCCCTGCCCGCCCCCCCACAGGTTAATAGTAAGCTAATGTAATTTCATAATGCAAATCTTAAATTCATGCTAACCAACAAATGATCAAAGGAAATATATTAATGTAATTTAAATAAATAAAATATGAATTGATGTTTACTTTAAACTTAAATTATAATGTTCTATTAAAATTATTTTTTAAAAGATTTTGTCTAATAAAAGATTTTTCTAGAGTCATCCACCATAATTTTGTGGCTAAAAAGTATCGGTTCATTCACTGTTTTGGTTCTGGTATCGTTTTAAAAGTATCAATTTAACACCGATATCGGAAAAAAAAAAAAGAAAACTAGACCCAACCCTAATTGTAAGTAGCCTGGATAGGTCATAGTCATTATGCTAATATCATATCACTTTATAGTGGATGTAAAATTCTCTGCAGTACATTTAGTCATTTTAGAATGTTAAGTTCTAATTCTGTAGTTATTTTTGTGAAAGTAACTAAAAAGTAATATAACAGTCATGTAACATATTACAATTCTGAGACAGTAATATTGTAAGGTAAGGGATTACTTTTAAATAGCAGTAATAGCAGGATCTGTAATATATCACAGTTTTGAAGTAACTTGCACAACACTGATGAGGTAGCATCTTTGCAAGATTAGCCTCCTTGTCTGTCCCTTCACTGCCCTCAGGTATTCCAATAAATCTCATTATTCTGCCTGCTTCTGTCTTCCATATCTGTAAGTTTTTCCAGAAGAATCTCTAATTTGGACAGGGATTTGATTGTAACTCTCGTTAGCCTCCATGAAATCTACTCTTGCTTCAACGTTGCTAATTCTTTCCATTAGTGCGGACAGTTCACCTTCCATAGAAGTAGTGGCATTGCGAATCTCTTTCAAGCTTTGCATTTCCTCAGACATTGTACAATTTTTTTGTCTATAAGACATTTTTCCCGTATCTCAAACTCTTCTCTGTCGAGTTAGCCGCTGCAGGATTATCTAAAAGGATAAATAAATTGGGCTGCTATGAGAGATGCTAAACTATGCTGCCATCCGCTACAATCCGCGTTACGTGACTCTGCTTTTCCATTTTTCACAAAATATTTTTTTTAAGTGCCTTGGTTATTTTGTAAAATAGTGTTCTACTGGCATAGCATAGCCATAAATAGCCATAGCATTCTGGTCTAAAAAGGAAGGCGTTCTGAGGTGCACTGCTGGCGCGTTGCTATTTTGAGAAACTAAAATAGATTTTTCATTAGACCAAAACAAACCCGCTCTCGCTTACACACTGCTTAATACGCACAAGAGAGCAATAGGCAATAATCTTTACATATGAAAAAATTTCAATATTAAGGATATATATAGGATATAATAAGAATAGATATAGGATATAAATATAAAGGATTAAAATATTACTAAACATTATTTTCTATCCTACATAAATATGAAAAATCACTGCTTTTATGTCTTCTTCATCTCGGGAGGCTTTTTCAGTTCATTCATAACTATTTGCTTTTGTATAATGTTATTATTATTAGCTGTATTATTTATTAAATCCATATTTATATTTAGATTTGCCCACCTGTCAGGTTTAAGACTATATGGGGCACAGCGAGTATTTTTGGATATAACCCAGGTTTTTGAACACTTCATTATTGTTGTTCATTTATTTGTTTGCTGGAAATTAGAACTGAATTTAGAAATAGTTTTGAAACGAATATTTGCGCTTAACAAGCTAAATTAATTATTTATAGACTAATTGATGTCTGTGCGTAAAGGTTTCCCTATCCAAGAGCGAAAGTGAAAGTAGATCCATTATCTCTCTTTCTCACACAGTAGATGCTCTGTTTAACAGTTTTCTGTTAAAAAATAACTGTTAACTGTTTGCTAGTGAAATGCTCAGTTTTTTCACTTAGACGTACTTTACGTCCTGTAAATAGCGAATGCGCTTATGGCGTGACGCAGCTGGCTTTTAAAGGGAATGGGAGATGAGACTTTAATTGGTTTATTCTCAAAACACACGTATAACTCATTAAGAAAATAAACTTAACCCTTTTAGAACATGCGCCACGGCGCAAAGCCGATTTTCCCATCCTTAAATTAGCAAAAATGCGTTCTGACACGCCCTGAAAGCGTTTGCGCCCTGCGTTTTGCGCTCTGCGCATGGACCGTCAAAATAGAGCCCTATATGTTCTTATGTTTGGGTGCACTGTCTCTTTATGAGTTTGAAATATGGGTAACATTTTACTCGAAGGGGTGTTCATAAGACTTTTTTAATAATTTTTTTAGAATTTTTATAATCACACATGAAACATCATGCATATAAAAGAGATTTTATACATACTTATGACAACTGTGATGAAAAGTTATGACAATTGTTAATGCCCTACATGTTAATGTCAAGTTGTGATGACAAATATTTCTCAAACATTGTCATCTTTGCACTTAAAATAGCAAAACAACGTTAATGACACTTAATGGCAGTTGCCAAACGTATGCTTAAAATCTCCTTCATATTTATGACATGTCCTGTCATGATTATATTGGTGTCATGACAGTCTAATGCAGGGGTTCCCAAACTTTTTAGGCCGCGACCCCCAAAATGACAATGCCAGTGACTCGTGACCCCCAATATCCTCTGAGGTGGTTATAAATACAGAAACCTTGCATGCAATGGCGCACACACACACACACCAATGGACCCAAGTCTATTCTTCTTTAAATTTTTTTTTTATGTATGAGAGCTGTAAATGGGCCACAAAGTTAGACCAGGTGTTATGAAATCTGCTGCATCTGACGCTATTGCTGTGTCTTTAATACAATGCAATTACCCCAGGGGTTGCAATCCAATAGAAGTAGTAACTATAAGCTAATATAGTAACTATATATGGTATAAACGACTATTTTTTTCTCTTCAGAAGGTTATTGATAAAATATGGTAATTCTTATGGTTTAATGAAAATAAATAGATTTTTGGAAACCACCAGGCGACCCCCCCCCCTTCATTGTCCCGCGACCCCTCGGGGGGTCCCGACCCCCACTTTGAGAACCATTGGTCTAATGAACACCCCCTTCAAGTAAAGTGTTGTCAAATTATCTTTTATTGTAACTTTTTCACAATTTCTGTGACTGTTCTTTATAGGTTGGATCAAAGACTGACTGCGTAATGTGTTTTGGACCCATGGTTCCTGATGGTTATGGTGTCTGTTACAATCCTATGGATGATCATATCAACTTTGCTGTGACTGCTTTCAATAGCTGTGAAGAAACCAATGCCACTAAATTGTCCACGTTTCTAACGGATGCACTTCTGGACATGAAGAATCTTCTAGACCAGGTGACTAAGGACCAGTGAGTGATGACACAGCTGTAATGGCAAAATAAACGTTCGCACAAGCGTTTCAGACTGAAGGCTTTTCAATGTATTTGAACTGACATCTACAGTATTGATGGTTTGATTTCTGTTTCATATCTGTTACTGTGGTGTGTTATTTTGTTACTTCTGTATGCGACTTAGAAAACTATTCTGAAATTGTTTACATTGGACACAAGCAGTGTGATAAGACTGCAGATAATGGAACCTATCAACAGAGATTCCGCTGGGACTGGTTGAAGGGCAACACAATTTAACAATAAGCATAAACTGATGCCTTATGCTGTTTATGATATTAAGACTAAGGAAAATTTGCAAGAGGTTCTTTGTCGTGTTCAGTGCTGATAGCTTGTAACTATCAATTGACCAGCATATTAGTTTGCTTACCTTGAAATTTGAACTGTTTGATCTGGTGTTTTAATTTTTTTGCTCTGTTTAAATCTAAATTTAGAATGTTTATTTTGCCAGCAAATATCGTTTTTCTTTAGGTGAACAATTAATTAATGCAGGTTAATCCAATAAAAAAAGTCTTTGTTGGTAGTCTTAAATTATTGTCTGACCATTTGCTTCTCCATTTGAAGTGACTTCAGCCAGAATATTCTTAACCACAGCCCTTTCAACATTATTTCCTTGGAGCAAACTAATAAGCAAAAAGAAACTTCCGCTTCCTACACAGTATTCCATTTCAGTTGGAAGTACATCAACATACTGAAAATCTCAGTGACTTCAAGTTCACTTGGACTTTAAGCATCCTGACCAGTCTGACACTGAAACAGCCAGAGTGACACTGAATTAAGGGTGTGAGATTGGAGCAATTTGTTGTCCTACTTTTGAATATGAGAAAAGCAGTTTGAAAACAGTTGTTTTATTTTTGCAGTATTATTTGGGCATGTGGCGTCACAGTGGTGCAGTGGGTTGCACGATCGCCTCACTGCAAGAATGCCCGGCTCGGTCAGTTGGCATTTCATGTTCTCCCTGTGTTCACGTAGGTTTCCTCTGGGTGCTCTGATTTCCCCCACAGTCCAAAGACATGCACTATAGACCTTTTTAATGGCTGCTGCATGGAGGGTGCCATAACGACCAGCGTCTTCCGGTAGAATGCTAAAAACTTTCGTTTACAGCGTGTACAACTGGTAATTTGCGCTCCAAAAATGGGTTTTAATAGATAACAGAGTGTTTTTGTGACACGTAACTTAGAAATATGTCTGTTAAAGTTGTTATAATCTGTCACTTGTGGTTTAAGCGTGTCAGAAATACGAGAAAAACGTTCTCCTAGTTCACATGTCTGGCGTCAGAAATACATTGTGTGTGCGTTCCCGGCCTGTCAGCTGTTAGCTCAGCGGCTCTTTAACACACACACACACACAGAGAGTACTGGCATGAAACTTAACAGGTATGAAAGTCGTGCAATTTACAAAAATGACCAATAAAAGTCTGTTATTGTCACACAACCAGCGATCGCTCTCCAGAGATCACACGAACTTCAGGACTACACTTCCGCATTTCCCAGGACTACATTTTCATACATGCACTGCTCCCAGACACCCATGCTCACACATCTAGCTTGATTGCACTCACCAGCTGCATCTTGTCAGAGACTGATATCACACCATACATAAGCCACTCATGAACCCATCCAGTTTGCCGTGTCTTGTTTACTGCTAAGTGACATTACAACTCGTTTCTCCTTGTCTTGTTTTCTCCGTGTTTAGACCCTAGCCTTGTTTACCCTTGTTCTCTAGTCTAGCCGCCTGACTTATGACCTATTGCTTGTTTATTGCCTGGTTAACATACCCGTTTGCACCTGTATGACCACTGCTTGCCTGACGCTGAATAAACCTGCATATTGGATCTTACCTCCAGTTGTCTTTGTCACTCCACCTCGGCGTCACAGTTATTGATACTCTGCTGGCTGATATGCTGTTCATTCTAATCGCGAGCCGTTTGTGTTTTATTTCGTGTGTTGTTTTTACCACGGTTTGTGTTTTTCTGTCATTTCGAAATGACACTAGCCTTTACTTTCACTTTGTCACAGTTATTAAATCAGTGTGTCAGTGGCACAGTACAGTTATTAAATCAGTGTGTCAGTGGCACAGTACAGGCTACATGTGTGTGTCAAATATTTTGGTGAATTACATTTGTTTGGGCTGGTTATATATTTGAAATAAAGAGAAAATGTTGACTTTAGCGATGACAAGGCTTCTTTTAAACTGCAGAAGATGCCGTCTGACAACCAGGGAAAAATGCCTCACAGCAGCTGTTTTCCATCCTGTTAGATCGCATTTCTTTAAATGATCAGTCCAGGAGATGGTGCTGATGGACAACAGTATCAGTTCAAAGAGGATAAAAGCAGGTAAATAGATTAAAACTATCGTTTCAAAGCTGTCCAAATGTGACTGTTTACACGCATCAGCTGCTGACCGGAAGTTCTTCGCATTCTCCTTGCGCATACACGCAAAGCATAATGGGTAATTTTGCGTTCCAAGAAAAAGGTCTATAGGAGAATTGAATAAGCTAAACTAGCCCCAGTGTTCCCCAGTGTTGAGTTGCGGCTGTAAGGGATTCCACTGCGTAAAACATATGCTGGATAAGTTGGCGGTTCATTCTGTGTAGAATGCATATTTACAGGGGAAGGTATGAGGCAGGGGTGGGCAAACTCGGTCCTGGAGGGTCGGTGTCCTGCAGAGTTTTTCTATAACACTAATTGAACACACCTGAACATGCTAACCAGTGTCTTCACCATCACTAGAAAGCTAAAGGCAGGTGTGTTTAGGGTTAGTGGTAAACTCTGCAGGACACCGGCCCTCCAGGACAGAGTTTGCCCTCCCCAGGTCTAAGGAATTAAGAAAGGCCTTACTCCCTATACAAGTCTTATTTACCCCCTGAAGTACATCAAACTGTTTGCTGAAATGTCTACAACAATAAACATAAGACTTATAAGTGTGCACAGTGTTTCTGTCAGTTATGCAGTTTGTGAATTTAACATGGATGTTGCAATCACTACCATAATAATAAGTCCTTATTGATTTTCAGAATTGTAAAGAAAGGAAAGATGAATGTCATGCAGTTTGTATTATTGAATGTTTTTAAAAATTACACTTCACTTTTCCGGTAAGTAGTTATAAACTAAGGGTGCTCCATACATTAACAAGGACAGCCAGAAACAATTATTTTTAAATATGTTTGTAAAATTATTATTTTTAAGTATGTCAAACTTTTTTATAAACGTTTACAAAAACAAGTTAAAAAATTATAAACTTTTTACAATAAGTGCATGCATTTTAAAGACCAGCATCAGAATATCAGCTTCATATGACAAAGCAATAAATGCCACAGGATTGTTTAATTGTTTCACCTTAGTTAAGTAACGCCTGGCACGTTATGTTAAATTATTTTAAATTACACGCCCCATCCATAACCAACCTTAAATCATACCTGAACTCTGTTTAACAGTTCCAAGTAAACTGTTTTGTGTGACATTCTCATAAAAACTCTCTGCTTTTGAATATCTTTGTTCTTAATTGTTCTTAGCCCTGTCAATGTTTATCTATGTTGTATTATAATTATAATATTTCCTCTCCTGTTTCTCTTCCGTTTATATTCTTTAGCTGTCAATATAATACTTCGCGTCTATGGAAGAAAGTCAATAAAGATAGACAATGTGTAACATCATATTCATCAAAAGACGGTTTATGTGCAAGTAACAGCACCGGTCCGAGCAGGGAGCGAGCCGGCATGGGAGACAAGCTCCGAGGATGCTAAAGATTGCAGAACAACGTCTGTCGCTGGATCCGAGGACTGAGATTTACGCGATCACCAGCTGGCTACCGCTACATAAGGGCAAATATAGATGACTAAAGCCTTATTTACTCATTTTACTCATACTTTTTATCATTTATAATGTCCAAGGCATTGATATTAATATTATATGCTACTTTTGTGGCTTTTTTAGCCTTTATCTCGCCTGTTTACTGGGTTAAAAATCTTACATTATTCCATCTCCACCTGCTGGTGAAAGCTAGAGCAGCTGGCGATCTTCAATCTGCAATCTATTGCTTCTCCTGCAGTTCCCGGATGTAATGTTGAATTTTAACAGTCGAATTTGGTCCACTGAATTTATTGAAGCGAATATTTGAACTGAAATAAAATGAACTGAAAATGACCTTTTGAATATTATACATCGTATTTTTAAAGGGTATTGAATATTTTGTAAGTGATTTTTAAGTATGAAAACGTGTTTGAAATATTTTTCGTTGAAATATTCACAGCTTAAATAAACAGATATGTTAAATTTCAGGACCTAAAAATACAAACCCTGGAATTCAAGTCATTAAAATGCAAGAACTTGTTAATACGGTGTATTATTTTTTTCAGTTTGTGATATTCAACAAGATTTTTAATTCAAGACTTTTGGCATTGATTTTGTTCCATAGGTATGTGCATCATGACGTTTCCATCAATCGTTTTTAAACGCATCTCCAAAATGAGCATTAAAATAAGTGCGTGAAATTGTATGGCTAAGGCGAGAAATACCGCTTTGTCTTTAAAAAAGGGGAGGAGACCAACAGAAACTGAGTTTAGAGAATAAAACCTGCTCCCGACCAGGTTAGGTTCACAGAGTAAGTTACCACAGTAACTGACTCTGAGTTAAAGTTACCTCTCTTTCAGAAACAGGCTTGACTTACCCTGCTTTCTCGAGTTTAACAAACCTGCCATTTTGAAACGGAAAACCCAGAGTTTCTCTCATTTCAGGGTTAAAATACTCTGAGTTTTCACTTAACCTCCTTTTTGAAACAGGCCCCTCAATATCTAGAGAAGAGGGTCCTGCCTTGTTTGACAAATATCCCAGAACTCATCACAGGACTAGAACGAGGGCTTTTAATAGCACCTGGTATAAGGACTTATGGCTTGAATATTCTGTAAGTCAAGATTTAGCTTATTGCTTTGCATGTAGGCCTTTTTCTTTGCCCAGTAAACCAGAATCTGCCTTCATATCACAGTCAAGATTTTCTGGGCATTGTTTAAAGATTCTGGGTTTAAGCTCAAAAAGGCTATCAACAGCAACTTATCAATGCTGGATCTCATAGATGAGGAACGATAAAATAAGTGCAGGAAAACTGTGTGTGCTATATTTTAAGTGGCAGTCAAGAGCAGCACATCAGCAATTGTTTTAATGTACAGTTCATTGAGAGTCTGAAGGTAATAAGGGTAATTTCTTGACAATCTTACAAGAAAAAGCAAGAATGAATGCATGTAGAAATGCTAAGTACACAAGCCACCAAATCCAGAATAAAGTTCTTGAGGGCTTATCGAAGATGGCACAAAGTGAAATAATAAGACAAGTAAAACCTAGTCTTTAGTGTAATTGTAGATGAAACCAAATATTTAAAGAAAAAAGAGCAGATCTCTTTAGTTTTGAGGTACTATTACAATGCGGCCATCCATTCAAGTTTTTTACACTTTCAGTCAGCTGGTAAGATGATAGTAGACTGCCTTGAGAAACATGGCCTAGACTACAGAAAATAATTTATGACGGCTAT